CTCTAATCCGGATTGCTTGTAACGTTTCTTGTTTGCCCGAGTTCCTTTTAACCAAACATTGAGAGCCGCAAATCAACTTATTTCCACGTTTCTCCCTATAAGGAGTTAAAAATAAAAATAAAAAAATGATATATCTACCGAAACTTTTGATCAGTACCTAAGGAGTGTTTTTGTTTTGAAAAGTACCCACAAATATTTCAATCATCTCTAACCAGCATCCTTTTCCGCCACGTCTCCTATTCTTCATTCAAGCACTCATTTTCTTCCTTCTTCATCATTTGTCTAAAAGAAGAAAAAAAAAAAGAAAGGGCTGAAGTCTATTTCGCCTAACTGGCTACGTATGTCTGTTGTTGATGTTTTGTTTGATTTGAATAGATCTTCTGCAGAAGTATTGAATCAGGAAAACTTCTTAGAAATTTACACTTGGTCCACCATAACTTTTTGCATTAGATTTAATCTTTTCAAAAGTTGCACAAGACCAACACTTACAGCTGACACTAAAGCGTTTGAAATGAAACACTTTGTTTGGTAGAAAAAATTGAAATATTTTTGACTGGCACGTGACAAAAATGAATATGCCAACATCTACACCTTCAGTTGTTTGAAGATATATGATTATTATAAAATTTTATGGTAAAAAATTATTATATATAAATAAACTCCATATTTAGTATACAACTTTTTTTTTCCTTTATATATATATATTTGAACAAAAAAAATAATATTTATTAATAAATAAAAAAAATACAAGAAATATTCCAAATCCATAAACATCATAACTTGAAAAGCATCATATTATATGAGTAAAATAATTCTTTTCTTATGATGTTGACCCCTGAATTATTTGTCAGCACCACGTCTGTGTTGTAGTTTTCCTTTATATATTTTCATAACATACTCTTTTTTTTTTTTTTTTGGCTAACGTATATTCATTATTATACATAGAAATCTATTTAAACAAGACTCCTACAAAAACATCAGCTTAACATAAATGGCAAATCATCGTATGAGCTTATGAACTTATGACTTAGTTGACTAGCTAATTAATGTGATGTAAATGAATTAACTGTATGAGAACAACAAGAAAAAAGCACTCAGCTCTTGAGGCCCACTGGCATCAAGCCAATTAGTAGTGCATTTCCCCTCCCCTTGGCCGGTTTCGAACCGCCCCTTGCCAATATGTAAAAAAAAAAAAGAAAAAACAACAAGAAAAAAAAAAGGCTTGTCTATTTTGTGTGCTTAAGGCACAAGATACCAAGTAATAATTAAATAATAATTATGATATATATTTTTTTAAATGTGAAATTTTAAATTAAAAATTAATTTTTATTTTATAATTTAAAATAAATCAATAAAAAACTAAATACCTCATATTTATAATTAAATTTAAAATTAAATTTATTATGTTTATAATAATAATAATAATAATTAATTATTTCTTATCATTCAACATAAAAGTCAAATAAATAAATCCAAAAAAATTTAGAAACATATGTTTTTCATGTGTCAATGTCTGCATCTTAGCTACTTCATGGAAAATTCACGCAATTGGTTCCTGGTAGGTGACATTAATAATAGAGTTAAAAAAGGCAAAACTACCATTAAATCGAGTCTCCCTCGGCCCATGTGATCATAGAATCGAATTCTGCAAAGTATTAAAAGGCGGCTCCTTGGTCAACAATTTATTCTACCTGTCTGCTGACTCTGCTCTTTCCCTTCTCCTTCCTTCTCTCCTCCCCTTTTATACCTGCACATCCTGGACCAACCTTCACCCTGTCTCTCCGCTCCTCATTGCTAGCCGGAGTTCCCACCAAATGGAGGTGGTTGTTCCGGCAGCCCCAAGTATGGATTTTGATTTCAAAGCAAACGGCTTGTCGCCTTACTTGAGTGCCCCTTCAACTCCAAGACGTTTTGGGGAATGCTTCTTCACTAGTGCGCCAACGAGTCCCACAAGAATGTCGGAGTTTTACCGCGAATTCGACAGGTTCTCTCAGACGGACAGTTCTTTGGCGGTTCCTTTCAACTGTGAAGAGAAACCGGGTACCCCGAAATCACCGAAGGGAAGTACGAAGGCAGATATTGATGATTTCGCTTTTGATTTTAGTGAGGACTTGGAGAAGGCGTCTCTGTCGGCGGAAGAACTGTTCGACGGAGGCAAAATCCGGCCGTTGAAACCCCCGCCTCGGTTACAGATTGACGAGTTTGCATCACCGAAAAGCCCACTTTTATCTCCGAGGTCGCCTAAATCACCCATTTCAAAAGGTGCAAGAATTATACGCAATGTTTTCTCGCCTAGAAGGAAGAAAGATCACGACCCGTTTGCAGCCTCCATGGAATCAGAAAATCAGAGAGGGAGAGAAAGAGTTCAGGCTTTGTCTAAGAATTCAAGTCGTAGAGCAACAAGATCTCTCTCTCCTTTAAGGGTTTCAGAGTACCCATGGGAAGAGGAGGAAAAACAGAGCAAACAGACCCCCAAGCAATCAAAGCCTTCATTTTCATCTTCTTCGAAGAGTTCTTCCAAAAAATGGAGAATCAAGGACTTTCTACTGTTCCGGAGCGCATCCGAAGGGCATGCAACTGACAAAGATCCATTCAGGAAGTACTCTTCTCTGTTCAGGAAAACAGAGGAGGCCAAGAACGCGAGTTTCCGGTCAACAGACAGCTTCGGCAGCTCAGTATCAGCATCGAGAAGAAAGGTTTCGGCACATGAACTGCATTACACAACGAACAAAGCTGCATCGGAAAATATGAAGAAAAAAACTTTCTTGCCATACAAACAAGGTATTTTGGGAAGATTGGCATTCAATCCCGCCGTCCATGCACTTTCTAATGGATTCGGATCGCTGGCACGGTGATAATTTAATCGTAAATCTTTGAGAGATAATATAAAGTCTGTTGTTGTCATAAATATAGAGGCATTTGTTCCTATCAAAGTGTAAAATTTGTAAATGGAACGAATGATGTAAGTTTGTAATTCATTCGAATCATAGTGTTTCTTTGATTTTTTTTTCTAATATGGCCATGATTGCTTAATTATGGAAGGTAAACTTTGTTGTCTTATTATTTGCATCCAATTGGATATAAATGGGATGAATGATTAAAGGACTTAAATGTATAAATATTATTTTGAGGATTACATTTTTAAAAAAAGAGTTATTTTAAGGAGTTAATTGGAATGGAAGTAAGAGACTTGCCTAACAAATAACTCAATTAAGGAACCAATCATGAGATTATTCCTTTAAATAAATAAACAAAGATCTTTGAGCAATAACTTAACTAATTTAATAATCATCTTCTTTTTACTAAAGTAAGAAATTTAATTTTGAATCGCATAACATACTAGTGAAGTGAAATAAAAAATGAAAAATGATTTTTTTATATTATACAATTAAAATAAAAAAATAACAATAAAGATCTTTGATATTCATGTTTGGTATCACCGGACCCTAGAAATCATCCATCAATTTGATTTTAAAATATGAGATAATTGAAGGAAGATAAGAGAATCGTTAGCAAGAAAAATGCTGGATGCGCAAATGCATTGTCAACCTAACTATGAGATAATTCATTAACCCAACTACCTGATGTACGGAAAAATTTTGCTATATCCTCGGGATACCGTTAATATGATATTTCAACTCAATTAAAAAATCATCTTTCTCTTCGTTTGATGATTAATAAAATGTAAAAAAAAAATTGCAATGATAGTTTTGAATTGACTTGGGGTACCACACTACCATTACCACATCCACGGCATCTTAAGAATACAGCAGAATTTTTAGCAGAATTTCTAGATGTAAGGACAGCCTAGGCACTAGGAAGTCTAGGTGTCGGTCGGATTGGGCTGCTGTGCCGGTGCTTATTATTATTAGTAAAAAGATTTGACTGAAGGCACGCATAAGAAATTTTGATTAATTAATAATTATTATTTTTTATTAAAAAAAAGTAAGATTTTAAATTAAAAAATAAATTTTAATTTTAATTTTGAAATGAATGCATGAAGATTAACATGTAATATTTGCAATTAAAATAAAAATTAATTTTACTCTTTTCAAAATAAAATGTTATAATAATTACATAATTATTATTTTTTATTTTGTACTTTAAAAACATAAAATAAATAAACACTTAGTAAAAGGGTTTGTATGAGCGCTAATCTATAAGCAAAATAAAAAATTAATTATTATCATTATTTTATAAAATAATTATAAAATTAATATTCATTTTAATATAATT